AAAAAACTGCTGAATAAAACAAAGCAAAATCAGAAATACATAATCCCAGTGAGCCTAAGGCTCAACACAGTATAATGCTGCCACCACCATGTTTAATAGTAGGGACTGCAAAGGCAGTTAGTTTTCTGTTTTATATGATCAGAAAAGTTCTAATTTAGATTTGTCTGACCACGGCACCTTCTTCATTTTATTTTATTGTTTCTTTCAACATTAGGCTTTTGTAATTACTTTTTTATTAAGTTTAATTCCTTCTTATTCTATTTTGTATTTATACTGAGATTAGATCTCTTTACAGTCATAATCTAATCTGTTTTAGGGCCATCACATAAAATCCTGAGAACTCTAAAGTTGAGACAATGTGGCAAAGATCAAGTGGTACTAACACCTCCAAGACTCTGTATCTTCCTCTGTTAAAACCCCAGTGCGCAAAGAGGAAAAGAAAAACATTTTAAAGGACAAAGAAAAAAAAAAGCTGCAGCAGAGCCACATGGTCAGCATCCTGGCATTAAATTGAAAGGAACATTTTGAGGGGAAGCTTAGGAACAGGGCTGTGCTCGTTCTCAAACAACCACACACATAGACAGAAACACACACGCACTGAGTGGTGGTTTGGAGACAGTGTGGGAGTGCATACGCCTCCGCTTCCCGAAATAACCCCCCAGATGAGGGGCAGGGAGGCAGGGTGAGGTTGGTTCAGAGAGATATAAATGGATGTTAATTGTATGGCTCTCTCAGATTGCTTTCAAGCCAAAGCACAGACTTATAAGCTTCCATACTCTCTAAGTTTAAAGATTTTTCTCTCTCCCTTGCATGCTCATCATGGGTGGCAGCTTTAATGCCAATGTGCGCATTCACATCAGATTAAAATGGGTAGTAATTTTATGGCTCTGGAATAAAGTTGAAATCCAAGCAGAACTCTCGTGTAATATCTCCTGTTAATCCCTCCAAGAATAGAGAGCAGAGGAAGGCACAGGGACTATGATTTCCAAAAGCTTCTTCCATAAGAGTTTGAGAAGATGACTGTGCAGACTCTCCCCTGTTTGTCTGGGCTTAGAGACTCACATTATTTCTGTTTGGATGCATCCAGTCAGAGGAAGCTGCATCACTATGGCACAGCTTTATGCAAACACAGTTGGTTTCTCCTTTTCAAGTGTCAATTAAAGACTAAGGAAAATAAAAATAGATGAATTTAGCCTTCAAACCTCCCAGGAGGCTATTAAATGTGTAGAGGATTAGAAGAGGAGCAGAAGAGTCTCTAAATATATACAGTTGATAATTGCATGCTTGAATGTTTCACCTTTTATGTGAACAAGCAGCAATCGACAAGAAAACAGAATATTTTGAATCCAATACAACATACAAAAAAAATATATCTGTGCTGTCATATATATGCGATGCTAAAATATATGTTTTTGTGTGGTATCCATTGCTTAGTATTTTGTCAAATAGATAAGCATAGAAGATGTGAAGCAAGATTACCAGGAAGAAACAAAGCAGCCAAATTTATAGTCAAACCACTCCCCCTTTTGGTCACCCAGGGAACTACAAGTTGAATTTAGCCTCTTCTCACCCTGTCTTTTGTTACTGTGTAATTAACACAATTAACACAAATGTCACAAAAGAGCCTTTTTTCCCCCTTTTTTTTGCATCAATGGTTACAATTTATCATTTGTTCTTAAGCATAAACTTTATCTAAAAAGGGACAGACTATATTTTGAACATATTTGACCATTTAATGCACAGTACCAGATTATGGCTTTTTGTACATTCACATCTGCAACAAAGGTTTCATGGAGGAGGCCCAGAGGGAGACCCAGGACATGTTGGAGGGACTATGTTTCTCTCCTGGCCTGGGAGCACCTTGGGATTCCCCTGGAGGAGCTGGCCCAAGTGGCTGGGGAGAGGGACGTCTGGGCCTCCCTACTGAAGCTGCTACTCCTGCAACCCGACCCTGGATAAGCGGAAGAAGATGGATGGATGGACATCTGCAGTCTCTTAAAAGTTTACAATGAAATATTATAAACGGAGGCTCTTGGATTTCTTACAAAGAAGTTGACAGTAGAGAAATTAATTGTTATTTGTTACAAAAAATGTATCTACACCCTAACATTTTTCCGGTTTTTTACTAAAGGTTATAAAACACCAAAAGCGGGCCTCTCTGGAAAACCAGGCCTCATGTATTAGTGGCACCTGTTTAAATGAAAGTTATGAATGGTTAAACCATGTCTTCGATGTAAAAATAGTACAGTAACAGCCTTTGCTCCCATGATTTTTTATTACTTTTCAATGTCTCCTCAGTTTGCAGAGAATTTGTATAAAGGCAATCTCCTGTTCTGCATCATTTATTATTCCTGGGGTAGGCTACACTCCAGCACAAACTCGATTTCTTGTTTGCAGGTTTGAATTTTACATCTGTTTCCTTTTAAAAGCCAATATTACTTTTAGGATTATTGTGCTGTTAGTTTATTCAGCTGAAGTCTTGTGTCTATTTTCCGGGTCTTTCATGTTAATGAGACCACCGGTCTAAAACACTGCAGGTCTAATTTTTCTCAGAATATTCAACACTTTCTTAACTGAGCCAGTATTAATGATTCATAGAAAAGACCAGGTCAAAATGGCCTCCATACCAGAGATCTTCTGCTGGCCATAAGAAAACAAAGGCCAGTGCAACATTTATCAAAAACATATTGATGATTCCAAAGAATTGTTTTCTGTATCAGTGTCAGAATTAGAAGGATTCTATGACACTGTGCACGTTGGGTCCTGCTGCAATAAAGCATCCCTGAACCATGACACTTCCATCTGTGCTAAACGGCTCTTCTCGTGGAATGCCTCACCTGCTTAATGCCAAACATATTCTGTGTTTTTGTTTCCAAATGCACAACTTTTACACTCATCTCTCCAGAGGACATTTCTCCAGAGGCTTTATGAACTCATTTGAAAACGTTCAGTCATGTTTATAGAGTTTCATTAACAGGAGTTTCTTTTGCAATCCTCTAGTCAAAATGTATCCTATGCATCTGCTTATTGATTTATAACTATGTACATTTACTAGAATATCCGAAGCCTGCTGCATGTCTCTTGAAAGGAGCATTTCTGGAGACTTCCTCTAGTATCTGTTAGAGTGAACTTGGTTGCACAGCAGGAGAATTTCTGCCTTTCTAAAACAAGCAGGAGCAAAATAGAGTGACACAGGACTTAACATTAACATATGATGCTGTTATGTGCACCCTATATGGTACACTTAAGTGATTTTATCCAATTTAACTGTTAATTAAGATATGTAAGTCTTAGGCAGCTTCTCATTAAATTTAACAAATCTTACTTTTTGTGTTTATTTTTGAATTAAGTGCCTCTAAAAATGTATTAAATATACTGGCTTTATAATACTATTCTATTTTTTCATGACGTGGTATCTCTTAAACACATAATTCTAATGGGGTGGAATTTGATATTGTGTAATAGGCTGATTATATGAACATTATTTCAACATTGACTGTCAGTCTCCATATTAGGATGAAGTACCATTAGAAAATACCCCATAAGCATGTAGATAACTTTTAGACACAAATTACAGCATAAATATTTTCACTAGTTACAAGTCATTTTATTTTTTTAGCTGATCTCATGATATTAATGTTTTTTTTTTCATTTGTATTCTTTTTTCAAATACAAAACAGAGAGGAAAACAACACAAAAACAAAACAAATATTTTCTTTTTTTTTCTCGTTTTAATTAATAAAAATAACAAGAAAAAACTGTTGTAGTACCTGTTCCTTTTCAAACATCTTAAAAGAAAGAACAGGTGCTTTATGAATGGATATAAACCCCAGTCTTCACCAGACTAATTACTATAATACCATGTCCAATAATATCCAACAACATCTTGTCTTATCCATAAACAATTCATCACTTTTGTTGTAACATTCCAATATTTTTTTACTTATACAGTTTCTTAAATTTACAAACACACTTGTATATCACTTTAGTTCAGAATCCACAGTGTTTCACATCTTAACTACATAGACAGTCACACACATGTTTCAATATATATATATATATATATATATATATATATATATATATATATATATATATATATATATATATATATATATGTATGTATATATAGTTAGCATTCTCTGTTTTGCTTTTCATATAATAATAAAAATGTTTATATCAACAATCAATCTTTCAGTTAAAAAATCAGTTTGCGTGTAATAAATGAAATGATGTGATGAGTTGCTGACATAACAATTTTCAATTAATTTCTTCTTTATTCGATTTTTGGTCTCGTGTTTTATTGTGTGTACTTTTACCATGTAAATATTGGCAGGTGATTTGTTTTGTTGTTGTTTTTTTTCTTAACGTTTGTTTATGAAAAAATTTTAATTTTATTTTTTAATTTTTCTTTTTTTTCCAGACATACAAGTATATAATAAAGACAGTATATATCCATATAACATAAATTAAAACAGTCTGAAAAAGGGTGTATTGGCAGAAGCAAGAAGCTTACAATGCCCACCCTCCAAAGCTAATTTACATTGGACAGAAGAAAAATAAGATAAAAAAGATGGCTACCGTTTATAATCAACGTATGAATTTAGGAAAAATTATTATTCTACAATAATAACATTATTTTTAGGAAAAAGAAAGAAAAAAAAAGGTAACGCACCCAATATCTTACTTCTCTTATTTGCATTCACATTTTTCATAATTTTTTTTATCGTATTATTCTTAAATATGTTTCTTAACCTTGTTAATGTGGTACAATCTTTTAGCTCCGGATCTAATATGTTCCACAAATCAACCCCAACAAAAGAAAATTAGGCTACGAAACAAACTAAATGTGGGTGCGCGTCTACTCTCCGTATTACGCTAAAGCCGATCGACATTTTTTTTCTCCCTCACTAACTTTATTTTCACCACGGAACGTTACAGAACAAGCACCTTGCGCGAAGAGACAAACAAGTCCCGGTTCGCAACAGTGACGTCAGCACGCAGCGGAGTGGCGGTGACGCGCAGCGATTGGGTGAGCCCGGGAGCTAAAGTGTATAGAGTAAAAAAAAAAAAGAAAAAGGAGACACGGATGAGAACAACAACAGCTGCCGCCGAATGAAGCCAGCTAAAGTCACAGCCTCGCTCCTATGGCTCAGTCGGTAGAGACTTCGGGTAAGGAACCGTCTTTAAAAGCCGTAGTTAGCGGGGAATGGCCGCAGCAGCTTCCTTCCTGTACGAAGTTTCTTTTGTCTTCCTCCGACAACAACAACAAAACAAGAGAGCCAGTGTTCACATGAGTGAACAACATTTTATGTCCCCGCTAACAAATATGTTAAAGCAAATTGTCAATTAACAGACTTATTAAATCGTGCTAAGAGGGAAATTTGTTTGTTTTTGCGCGGCCGTTTGTTGGCAAAACCTTTGGACCAGTTTATGGGGGAGCGAAGCTGATAGGCAGCTGGGTGTGTTATCAGGTGGTTCCCTCACAGAAACAATCACTGAAATGCCATCATATGTGCCCTGTGTGCTGGGATAGTGTTATAAAAGGGAGAACGTTAAAGAGCAACTGGTTAGAGCCACTTTATCAACTCTACCGGTCCTCCACAAAAAAAAGCAACCACAGTTTATTTTTGTATCTCTGCTTTTTTTTTCTATTTCTGTTTCTGTCTGCTTGAACCACAGTCATCCTCTGCAGATGGCCGCTCACACTGACCCTGGTTCTGCTGGAGGTTTCTTCTGTTAAAAGGGAGTTTTTCCTCTCCACTGTTGCTACAAGCATGCTTAGTATGAGGGATTGCATCCCAGTCAATGAGTCCATGCAATTAACTGGTTTTCATTAGATTGAAAACAATCTGACTGTATGATCTGGTTGAACTGTAAAGTTCCTTGAGATGACGCGTTGTGAATTGGCGTTATAGAAATAAACTGAATTGAATTGAAAAATGCTGCTGAATCAGGGGGTGTCTATGGTAAATTAACTTCCAAAGGTTAAAATAAGTGCAGCATGAAAATCAACATAGATTGGTTCAATTAAATTCTGTTAAAAATTTCATTAAAACTAAAATTTAACAAAAAAAAAATAACAATAATCAAGTTAGCGATGTAATTATATGGTCTGATTCAGAGCAAGATGCATAAAGTCCAGATCAGTTGAAATTATTACTCAGCATTTTTAAATAAAGTTGATAATTTAACTCTAATTACAAAAAATAACATGACGGATAATAAATAAGGAAAGTTGAAGTGCTGACCCAGGTGCACTCTCTATAGGATCTGAAAAATTCTGCTTTCTTTTCTTGATTTAACTTCTTAAATGTGTCTTTTTTTTCCCAGATCCTATTATGGCTGCAACCTTTACCATTTCAGACAGCGACACTGAGCCATCAGAGGAGGTGGAGGAAACAAGAAACAAGGAGCCAAGGATACGAAACAGTGGGAAAAGTAGGCAACCGGAGGAGATTTTTTAGGGAAATGTGGAGTGGGGTGTAGAGGCTGTACACTGGGTAATTGTTAAGGTTAAAAATAGATGAAAAGTCCCCATCTGAGATGTTTGCAGTTATACTTATAGCTGCAAACTGTTGCATTAGTCTGTATTAGTCTTTATGCTTGAACATTTCTGAAGAAGTAATTAAAAATCAAATCATGTGGCGAAAAAATTTTAGACCAATTACTGCATTTTTTTTATGTATTAATAGACGCAACAGCTCTAACATTTAACTATCTCATCTGTGTCACTCTCCTTTAATGCTTTTACCGAAACCTTTTGCTGTTTTCTCTCTCCAATGCTGCGAAACCTGTTTTTCCTCCATCTAAAAAAAAAAAACCTCTCAACAATTCAGGGCTGCTTAAATCTCTGATCTTGCAGATTTCCATTGCTTTGTTTTATCTGCTAATGCCTCAATGGAGGTACATTAAGGAATAATCTAGAACCCTTTTTTTTTGGCTTTTAACTTTCACTTTGCAGCACATCGTCGGATCAGACTGAGCTCGGAGTCTCACGCTTTCACCAGAGAGGAGGAGGCCAGGGGGGAGGAGGAGGTCGGGACCCCCACTGAGGGCTATCCATTCAGGGGCCGATCTAATTCAGCTCCTCCAGCTCTGTGGGCTGCCAAGAAGTACGGCCGGCAGCTTCGAAGGATGAGTGATGAGTTTGTCACCCTGCTTGATAAAGGGGTAAGAGTGAGACTATAGTGAGTGTTGTAAGCCTGGCTTTCAACTTTAAACTGATTTGCTCTGCTTTTTGTTTCCCAGGAGTTGAGGAAGGTGAGCAGCACGGGGACGAACAGACCAATACGCCATTCCAAGAGCTGGTGGAGCTACCTCTTCAGTCACCAGGAGATGGAGGGAGAGAACAGTCACCATGAAAACCACACGCAATGCACTGAACAAAGAGGAGAATAAGAGTTAAACAAGGTTCTGATAGTGGGGAAAAAACCACGACCACTAAACAATCTGACCTGTGACTGGAAAAAGGCTTCCAGGTATAAGGACTTGGTTAAATAGGACGTTTATAACTTTTGCTATATACTTTTACTTTTTTTTTTTTTTTGGAAGTGTAAGAAGTGATTTAAACATGTTTGGCTGTTTTTTTGTGTTTTAGGGAAAGAAAGTCAAAATCCGGCAAGGCGAGATGATATCCTGAAAAAAAAAATTATATAGATATAATAATTTTTTTTTAGCCTGGTTATTGGATCAGTTTTCTCCTTCTCCACTTCATGCCCCCTAGCGTAGGATTGCTGGATATCAGGGACAAATGCAGCTGCAGCGTTATTACTGAATGCTTTAGTCTTGACTGCAGTTAACCAACATGTTCTTCCCTTTTCTTCGTTTTTCCATCATCATCTTGTTCTTCCTGCAGAGCTTTAGCACATTGGTCACTGAAATTAAGAGCTAGTGCTGGTGTCAAAAAACATGTAAAGTCCATGAAAAGTATCAAATCTATTACCCACATTCAAAATATATTTGAATAGTACTTGAAATTCATATTAGAAGTCGAGGATTGTCACCTTTTAAATCCAGATATTACTTGTTATCAGGAACATTGTGCATTCATTACCGTTTCATCCGTATACCTACATACCTATCAGTTTTATTTAAGTTTTTTTTTTAACATTGATTATAATTTACTGTGATGTATTATGGAGGTACACGTTCTGAAAAATACTTAGAATTCAGGTAAATTAGTTTTTTTCTGCCCCTAAAGGTTTGCTATCATTCCCAATTTCAATTGGTTGTGATTCAATACCTAAATTTAACATTCAGTTGTTATAAAATATGACCTGGATCAAACCAGAATAACTCAGCCTTGTTCTGCTGGTCGATCCTGTTTTTTTTCTTTTCTTTTATTGTCACAGACACATCTCACAGTAGAGCAGAGTATTTTTTTCTGCAGTCAACAGCTGTCAAAGATGTGAAAAAGAAACCAAAAGACAAGCAATTAAAGGGCGTACATTCTTCTTTTAACAAGCTTGTACTCTTGTAGCTCATGATAGTAATAGTCTTTTTTGTTGTCTAAAATAAGTGGACATGTAGAAAGAAAGAAAAAAAGGTGGCCAGAATGATAAGGGCCTTGTTACAGACTTGTAAATGCTATAAAGCAGCAATGGTAAAAAGCTATAGCGTATATCCTTCAATAAAGTCCAGGACCATGAAGAGATTTATTCAGCTAAAAGGAAGAACATGGGGAAAGGAGTCTCCCCTCTGCTTTATCTGTAAGGGTTTAAACTACACATCATTATCCTCTGCTACACCAATTATACTCTGTCAATATACATTTGGTTTCCCCTATAATAAAAATAATAATAATAAAGTCAGATGGAGCCAATGCTTCCCATGTAGTAAGCATTAGCTCCATCTTCTGTCAACTGATCTCTCCTTCATTTAGCTCGTTACAATGCAAGTTTAGTTAATTATCAGCAGAAAAAAAAGCATTTTCTTATCCTGACACACTAACAGCTGTGGTCTGTAGTTGATGGCCTGGCTGTTGACTCCCTGCTTGAAACATAGCATACACAGCATTGTATCCTCATGCATTTAGTGCTGATTCACTTTATTTTTTTAAGCCAATAAGTCACCTCAGGTGTGTTCAATCACAGTGTCATTTTAGAGGTGTTATTATTTACACACAGCTGTGTGATTCCATATAGAGTTGTCCAAAAATGGCAGGGCTCATCTTTTTTAGAATTGGAGAATTTGGAAGATTTGAATGACAGGTAGTGATTTATTTATCATTAAAGATTTTCAGATTTTCTTGCTGTAAAATATGTTGATAAATTCCCTTTACGGAGTTAAAAACGATCATTTGTTTCTCCATAGTTTACCGTGAATACTTGCAAGTAACCTGCAGGCATTTTCTTTCTTTTTGATCACAGGAGACACAAGCACTGACCTGTTTAGATGATATTAGTAAGTACAATGTTGGATGATTGACCAAAAATTGATTGATTTAAGGAAGAGGATTAGGTCAAGGATAAAATAAATGTTTTTTTTCTGACTTTAATCTCAGAATTTTGACTTATTCTGACTTAATATTCCTACTTTATTGAAGTAATAATCCTGGTCTTTGCAATAGAGTGCTAAGTAATTTGACTTTTAATTCTGAGATTAAAAGTCAGAATTCTTTTTTTTTTATATATATACAAACTTGTTCCTCTGCTTCAGAGCCTTTTCTGTGTTAAGCAATCATTATACTCGACTATCAGCAAAATGCTTTATTAGATCTAATTTATCAAAAGAACAACAATCATTTTCGTTGGACAATCTGTGATGATGCACAAATAATATCTTTAAATTAAAACTTCAGGGTTTAGATTGTAGCCGATGACATTTAAAGCACAAACAAATCTATCTTTCTAAAGTCTCTGACCAGCAAAGGAAAAAAAAAAGGAAAAACAAATATTTTTAAATGTAAATATCTTGTAAATGTTTAATTAAATTACTTTGGTGGAGGTTTTAAGCAAACTGAATTAAGCAGAAGTTTATTTAGGAGGTTTCCCAGCGGTTCAAAAAGCAATAGGCTTTGCACAATCTGTGGCTGGTGTGATAAATTTCACTGTTTTAAATGAATCGACTGCTGTAAGCCTCAATAGATGGCGGCATGAGTTTTTTTTATTATGGAAAAATAAGACGCTTTTTGTGTCCAAACGCTGCAAAGGGTTTGTTCATTAAAGTCTTTTTGTAGTCTGTTTTTATAAAAAGAAAAGTTTAAATGTGGTTTATTAAATTGATCAGTTTTGACTTGTGGGTAAAACTTCTTAAAGGACTAAGTAAGGAGCGCTGACCCAGTCCTGTGTGTTGTCTTAACATTGTTGGCACATATTTAAACAGTTTGTTAAAGCCCCTTACTGAAATCAGCATTTTTATACAGCTTGGTTTAAAGAAAAATAAAGTAAGGCCTATCTAATATCTGATTATTAATGGTGGTAAGTTTGTCCTGCTTGTGTCTTAATTGTCTTCCTCTCGGCTTGTTGGGTTGAGTTGTGAAGTGCTCGGGTTTGTCTATGATCATATTTTATGGCTCTGGTTCCGTCTTTTATAGCTTTTTTTTGCTTGGTGTGCATTTGAAACTCCAGACAATCTGAACAGTGCCACCTTGTTTAACGACTCATCCATTTACTGTACGTTTAAAGACAATAACTACTCTTCTATTTGTTAATTCACCACTTAGGAAAGCTTTACGCCTCAGTAGTGGAGCTTGCAGAGATTACCTTGAACTCTGAGATGGACACAGGACTAGATCTGAACTGAAGCTGAGCTGGGATTGAAGTGCTTAGTAATAAAATGAGCTGCCTTGAACATTTGTTTAACCTGTGATTTGACAGCACAGAGTCAGCCTTGAACTTTTTTCCCAATCACAGCCTTAAACCACTCTGTCTGTTTTACACTAGAAAGCACAGATTTAAACGTGCAAAGCGATTTTAGACTCAGGCTTAGCACGTCCTTGGATCAAATACCTGCTTAGGCACCAGGAGTTTGGCGTACAATTGTATTATTACTTGAATTTAAAGTTTTGTGTAAAAAGAAAATGGACTTTATCTTTTTTTTTTGTCAGTTTGTAATACCTTTTGTAAATGTATTTTCTCTACAGCTGTGAAAATTGATATATGCCGTCATGAATAAATGATTTTAAGACTTGCTTAAGTCATTTTTTTCTACTCTTTAGTAAAAAAATGTTTTCAAAATTCAGACTTTTTTTTAATAATCCACACAGACTTCCTATGCAGCTTTAAAGATATTGCTTCTACTGTTAATTTTTCAGGTTCAGTTGTGTGCAGGATTCAAACAGAAGAGCTTAGTCAAGGTTTTCCAACCCTACAAACATTTTCACATTTTGTTCCCTCTGAGATACAAAGAATTTTTGTTTAAATGTGAACGAGCAAAACAAAATTGACAAAAACAAGGAAGTGGAGGGAAAACCACATTTTTTTTTTTTTTTTACATTGCAGTTGCCCAATAAGCTTTTGTTTTGGTCTTTGCAGACACTAAACTGCCTTTAATCACTAAGGCCATCATGGTTGCTGCTGTGATAAATGCTCACCTTCTCTAGCCTATTGCTCTAGATCAGGTCTGCTGCCTGCTGCTCTGGACCCATAAGTTGCTCTTTGGAACCTCTATGCTGGTTCCTTATAGTGGCCAAAATTATATATAGAACCAACTGATTTGATCGCTTTTTTTAAACAATATTTGAATAAATTTTCAGAACAAAAAAGAATTAAAATATCCAAAAATGTCTATTTCTTGATCGTATGTTTGGAAATTAAACCAACATCAAAATATCAGATAATATCCTACAGAAGAAAATCTATGCTTCATCTTTATGCACGTTTAATATTTTTTGTGTCTATTTTTAAGCTAAAAATACTAAAGAAACTTTCAATTGTTTAAAATGGGAACAGATTTCCTAAAGCACACATTTCCAAAAAAAAACAAAAGCGCCGTTTTATTAAGAGATTACATGTTCACAGCTCTAAACGATTTTTACTCGTTCTGATTCAGATCAAGATATCTCTTTGGATTTCAAAGGATGCAGACCCCTGCTTTAGATGGACATCTGTCTGTCTAAAGTTGTCCCTGACCTGTGAAGTTCCTTGGTCTTTATAAAGCTGTCTGTTATAAACAGCTGGATTTATACTGGGGTTAGATTCACGGGTGGACTCCTAATAACGAGCTGGCTTTTGAGGACAGCCGGTAACTGGGTTTTATTAAAAGGTAATAAAGTTAAGACGGGAGTGTTGGTATGGGGGTTTTCAAACGTTTCCTATTCTAAAACATTTAAAAATGAGAAATGTGAAAAAATTTAAGGAGTAGTTGTAAGTTCGGAACACAGTTAAATCAGTGTCACATGTTTCTGACTTTATTTAGGTGATAAATCTTGTTTTTTGGGGGTTAAAGCACTTCAGTATTTCGTTGAATTCGAGGGGATTTAATTCGCCTGAACAAAAAACAATTCTGGGAAAACAAAGAGATGCTTTAATTGGGTTATTCACATTGGATTTTCCTGAAGGACATTAGTCAAAGTAGATTGACAGAACTGTAAAATTTTTGAACATATACATTTTTTTATTTTCCTTGTACTTCACAGTAACACACTACTTTATGTAGGTCAAGACAATGAGATCTGAATAAAATATGAGGAAATGTATAGCTGTAATGCAAAATAGCTTAAGGAAGACCCTCCAGAGTACTCTAGTGCCAAAACTCAAGTTAATTAAAATAAGCATACATTTAACAATAAAAAACATATTAAAGGCTTTAACTTTTGCTGAATGTCGAATATGTTTGAAAATAATATATATGCATTGATACAAACACTGATACCTACAGTATTGGTGCTCCAATAGTAGCATTTCCAGCACACATGGTGATGTTTACAATATATATTTGAAATTTCATGTCAGCAGAATCAGAACAAAGTGACTTTAACAGATCTATTGTTTCTGTTTCTAACTCGGAAAGTTATAGTGGGGAGCTGGAAAATAATGCAGCTGATAAAAATCTTTCCTCAATGAAAAAAAATGAAAAATCTTTTTCCTCAATGAAACAAATTTCTATTTGGATGAGAGCTGCAGACTGCTGGAAATACAGTTATGTGTGCATTAGTGCAGTCAGTGAAAACATTGATCTGTGAAAGTAATGTGTAGGAACCCAGTGATACTTGTTCTAAACGAAGCAGTAACACTCGTTAAAAGGCAACCTTATCAGAAATAACTAAAAGGGTAAACAGAGCACTGACTGAAAGGAAGATAAATTATGGCATCAGGGAAAATACAAACAAAACAACTTGATTGATGCATCAGAAACTTTGTTATACACGTCACTTCTCTGTTTCTCTGGATGCAGCTTTACTCTGATAAACAGAAGATCTCCTGTTATAACCCACAGCATCTATTTCAGGCCACTCCTGATGGATCCCAGCAGAACCTGTGACCGCAGTCCAGAGCTGACAGTCTGCTAATATCCGTGTCACTCAGGCTGAAGTCAAACACCTCCGCGTTCTGCAGTATTCTGTCTGGGTTTGAGGATTTTGGCAGCACTGGAATACCCTGCTGCACCGCCCAGCGTAGTAAAACCTGAAAGACGGAGGGGCGGGGGAAAAAAAATGTGTTAAATATTGACATAGATAAAAATAAGATGAGTGTTTGCTTTAGTAAGGAAGGTGCACACACCTGTGCAGGTGTGCGTTTGCAGTTCTCTGCCACCTCCAGGACCACTGGGTCAGTGAGCAGCTCTCCTTTTCCTAAGGAGGAGTAAGCTTGAAAGCAAACTCCAGACTCCTTACATAGGCTCCTCAGTTCAGGCTGGCACAGTCGTGGGTGAAACTCCACCTGGAGGAAGCAAACAATCCTAAATCAACCTGACATATGATACTGTTTGTTACCGACACAGGAAAAGAAACACCCCATTACCACGTAGTCATCATGGGAGGAAACTAAGTACACTCCTGCGTTCTTAGGACTTATGAGGAAACGTATCATTCAGGTGCTGCTGACCATATGTTTTTTTTGAAGCACATGAATGATAACACAAACAAAGACTTAATGATGCAAATGTTTATTGTTTTTCCTCCCTACTGTCATGTAAATAATTAAAAATCTCTAAATTGTAACAACTATATACTCTACGGGCATCAGTTTTCAGTTTAAAAGGAAAGATCTATGAAAGGATGCATAAAAAGGGTTAAAGGCTTAGAAGTCTCTCAAATGTGTATGTATTTAAGTTTGCTATGCTGCTTCTGAATGAACAGTGTCATTTTGATGTAGATTTGAATGCTAAATATCATGAATTCTAGCAGCTAAAGCTCAGACCAAACTGGGTTATAAGCAGTGTTCTACCTGTAAGACTGCAGGGGGAACTTTGCAGCTCTGCATCAGTTCTCTCATGTGTGCTGGTGTGTAGTTGGAGACTCCAATAGCTCTCAGCTTCCCTTGACCATGAAGCTCCTCCAGGCTGGCCCAACTCTGAGCTCTGTTACCTTGGATTAAACAAGAGCCCCCGTTACATCATCACGATACGCAAGAGCTGCATCTACATTTCAATTAGGCGAACATGAGAAGTCAGCTCAACTGTTATCATGACAAACACAACACATGATGCACACAAAAACTGAGAGCTGATCTAAAATCACTAGGAGTAAGAATACAAATTAGGAAAGTTAAAATCTTTATTTTTTCTATTAAAATGTGTCTTTTTTAAAGGCTGCTAAGATTTATTTGCACCTCTAAAAGGAAAGATGCCATTAAGATGCTGAAATCAATCACTGTACCTTCAAAAGGTAAGCCTGCAAAGCAAGTCTATAATTTGGATTGAAAGAAAAAAAAATTTTCCGCAGTGGATGTTGCCCAATTATATAATCATTTGTATTGGATAAAAAAAAAACACAAATATTGTGAAGTTTACGGTTGTAATCTGACAAAATTTGAGGAAATTGGGGAAGGAAGACTACTGTACAATTGTTTATATATATAGAAAGCATTTCAAGTGCCTAACTTTTTGTGTTTGGGTATGCAAAATAAACGTAGACTTTAATGATCTCGCCGTGGAGAAATGTACTATTCACATCAGCTAAATAGTCAAAAAGAAGGTTCCAAAAGGAGGAAAATGTGCATACAGTATATACAGTATATGAAGTGCATCCACATATATACATAACAGCTAAAGTCTATTACTGCACAGGGCATTAAATATAAACAGGTTATTGCGCGGGGTATTAAATAGTGATTGCACATTAGTTATTGTGCAAGTTATGAAAATTTTCATCAATGAAAATAAAAAAAAGTGCATTATTAGCCCTGTACCTGGGTTGCGCTCATCTGCCACTGCTAGTCCTTGAGTCCCAGGCCAGTGGATCAGATAGAGATCTATGTACTCCAAGTCCAGCTGAGACAAACTATGGAGGGCCCCTTCCATGGCCTTTTCACCCTGATCCTTAGGGCCCAACTTACTGCATCAAGATACAGAAAAGAAAATAACATTCTGAGAAAAGTCTACACAAAACAGGTCAGCTTTACCCATGCAAACAATCAGTTATAGAGAATAGAAATATATATAACAACCTAGTTATGAACACATCCTTTCTCGTCAAGCCATATTTGGGAAGGAGCTCTCTCAGGGCTTTCCCTAAGTCAGCCTCATTGCGGTAGACAGCAGCGCTGTCAAAGGCCCTATATCCAGCAGACAGAGCTGCATCCACAGCTCTGTGCACATCTTCAGGGTCACACAGCTTGTAGGTCCCCAGGCCCAGAACGGGCATCTGAAGCCCTGTGTTCAGGGCAACAGAGGGCGAGGAGAAGGGCGTAGGGGACATCTAATGATGAAAACCCAGAAACATAATGGGCATAAGAAAATACACTGCAATAAAAAGGTTCTCATATAATATATTTTAATGTAAAAAAAAAAATAAATAAATAAATGAATCACTTCGATATCACAGCACAAGTAAATTATCATTTATCTACAACGTAAACGTAATTTTAAAATTTTTATTATCTCTGTTAAATGAATTTTAAATACCATAATCAACCCTAAAAGTTTTCACTTTTCACCTATAAGAAAAAAAAACAGTAAATACCTACCCTCAAGTTTACAGCGTGCTGCACTTCCTGTTATCAGCTGGCGGTCATGTGACACAAAAAATATGGGCGGCTTTTGCGGTAACCACCATGGATATCTATGGTAACCACAGCGACATCTCCACTAGCACCGCCGATTGGATAAAGACCAATCCAATCAGAGTAGCGCAAACAGCATAGAGGCTGGAATAAAAAGAAGCTCAACCAATAGTAAGACAAAGCGGGTCTTTGATTGACAGTCGGGATGTTAACTGTTCATGTCCCGCTACCGAATATTAAAGCGACAGTACAACATTTAGAGGTTGAGGAAGCGATTTTTTTCTCCTTGTATTACGGTACTGGAAGTTTATATTATAAAATTGATGATAACAAGTTGAAAAAATATATGTTTGAAATGCTAAAATGCTACTTTTTTCATTTTGTCTAATTTCAGCTACGTAAAACCATCCATGGCGGGGCGACCTTTCTCTTTCCAATTCTCACAAAGTCGATACATTAAAGCTGGTAGTTTAATCTACAGGTTTAAGATCAGAGGAGGAAGCAGCTTTAGGTTTGGATGACTTTTTTACTTATTTTGTGGTTACTTGATTATCTGTATTTATCTGAATTATTATATTTTTTATTTTGAATATATTAAATAATTTCAAGATGTATGGCTCATGTTCCCTTTTTTATTTTTGTGATAACATTGTGTGATTCCATACTTTCTTTGTTTTTTCTCTGGACCAGAACCTGTAAATAGTTATTTGTATTTGTCTGTTTCTATACATATTTATACTCAGTGAAGATGAAGTTTTGAAGGATGAAGGCTTCGATCAACAAATGGAGGTAATTACGGGGACTCTGTAATGATTACAGAACCTTATTTTTTTTCGGTTTCTGTATATTTTTATCTTACTTTGTCTCTTATACACTTTTAGGAAATTGTTCGAACAGTTCTTGCTGCTTTGGACTGCCTTCAGCCCTTCTCCACTCCGCATTATAATGTTTTTCCATGTATCCTTTCTATTGGTTTATTTTATCACCATTGTCTTTTGTTTGCTATTTGTGTTTACTATAACTGAAGGGGTATACAAAGTTTTTTAAGAAAGAAATTTGATTTAAGAAATTTTTTTTTATGAAAATCGTTTCCAGACTTTCTATATACATTGTAAACATAATTAATATAACAATGTCAAAAAGTAAGTCTCCTATCAGTGTTATTATGCCTTCCCTCCATCTGTACACTTAACAATTACAGCCATAACAGCCACTTTTCATTTATTCACCAACATGGCCATACAATAAGACTGTATGGTATTGAAAATATTCTGATGACAATATTAGGTGACATTTTTCTTTTTTTAATCTTTACTTCAATTCCACTGGAACCTTTAGATAATTCTAAAATGCTATTTAAAAGAATTAATGATTTATTTTAAGACAATCCACCAAAATATTAAACATAACTTATATAAACATGAGTATAATGTTATAATATATAATAACGTATATGTATAATTTAGTGATTCTGTTTTAAAGGCTCTGCCTCCACTGTGAGAACTGATGTTAGATGCTGTTCAATTAGCTAATTGTTTCATTAGCATCGTGAAAAAATGCTAATATATATATTAGCCAAATATTATTGAACTCCAAACTGTCCTTTTTGCTTTAAATATTGTGCACACTGACATCCTGATGAAAATATAGTTGTAAAATACTGTATTACAGTTCATCACTCTTGGTATCTGTCAGTCCAAACTGACCACCCTTTCCTCTTTCAAATCATCCATCCATCCATCCATCCATCCATCCATCCATCCATCCATCCATCCATCCATCCATCCATCCATCCATCCATCTTTTCTTATCAATACCCTTCAGATAAAAAAAGATGCAGGAAATTCTGCAGACACCACCAGAGGAAGCTGTTAATTTACCCCTTCGTCATTATCATCTACCTGCAGAAGAAAAAAAGGCTCGGTGAGGTTGGATTTCACATCTGTTTATAAGCAGACAGTATTGCATGGGTCTGCTTTAAACAACCTTTTGTTCAACTTTGTTGATCTGCTACTGGAACATTAGGACAATTAAGATAAGAAGAAAATGTTAGCAAGTGTTTTTAGTCAAAATGGATGTGATGAATAGCAAATCCTGTGGCTTTGATTAAAAATCTTCTAACGTGGGACTATTTGTCTACTTTCAGGGGAGATAACACAGGAGGTGAGTTGTTTTTCATTATTTAATTAAGACGAGGTGCAAAGAAAGATTTTTTTTGTCCAACAATATTTGCTATTTAAAAAAAAAATACCTATCACAAATATGTTTAACCAGAAAAAGAATTTTAAAAACATTTTTTTTATTATTTTTTACTGGAGACAAAACAGAGGCAGCTCCCTACTGTCTTTGATGAGCCGAGGCCAGAGTGCAGTTGCAGGAACTCAACGCTAGAGGAGGCCATTATTGAAGAAATTTTCAGAGACATGGGGACTGGAGGTACTTTCTCAGTAGCAGGGTGAGTACCTAAAGAGAAGTTGTCTTCAGTTAAAGACTTTTTGTACAGCTTAAAATGTACACAAGCTTGAGCTTGGACTAATTTGACAATATTCATTAGTTTTATTGTAGTTCAACGATTATTTAAATATTCAAAAATATTGTCCCATCTTCAAGGGAAAATTAATGTGTACTTCTGTTTCTGTCAGTTCACAACAAATACAAGCCAAGCCATATATAGTTGTATAAAATGCTATACTTATTATCAGAGTACATTCAGATCAAATTACACACTATCTAATACAGTCACAGTTTATTACAATGATCACAGAATGCCAATTAGAAGGAGCTATCTGTCTAAATAAACCTAGATGAGTGATAATCTGCAGGGAAGTAGTACAAAAACACAAAAAAATCATGTTTTAGAGATAGTCTTTATTTAAGATAAAGAAATAGCTTACAGAGGGTGTATTTTACCAGGTTTACTTTCTATAAGAAGAAAAACCAAAAAGCAATTAATGAAGGCAACATTAATGCAATGACCTATAACCTTTACTTCAAGCAGGACCAGGTGATTGAGTTCTGTTGTCACTGAGATTATCATACTATGCTGACATGCCATACCAAAAATCTTCCAGTACAGGAAGTAGAATGAAAACATAAGGTTCTGGTTGACCCTAAAAAATCCTGTGTATCTGTTACTGTGTAAATGGGTTTGGGTGTAATTTCAGGACATATGCTAATATATCTGCAGTGTGGGGATTATAAATCTGATATAATCTTTTTTTTTTATTGCTATTTTGCACAATTTACTTAACTAAATATTTTTTGTTGGCGAATATAAGATTTTGCTGATATATTTTTTATACATACATTGTTTAGATTTGCTTATATCTTTCTACCCCTTTTACAGAATAGAATAGAAAATCCATTTACTGTCCCACAATGGGGAAATTCTGGTGTTTACTTCAGCAAAAAGATTATAGGAAAAAATTGTCACACAAATGTGGACCTTAGAAAAACGTATAAGAACAACATAATAGTTAAGAGTTAAAAGATAAGAAATAAAACACTGTAGTGTAAAGTGTTTTAACAATATAAAAAACTGTGCAACTGGAGAATAAATAACAAAAGTACATCTATAGACATTTTTACAGTAATGGATATTTGAAAATAGCAGTGTACTAAAATCTCAAGCCTGGTTTATTTGGTACCTAATGGCAGAAACTCTGGCTGTGGCGTCTTCCACAATGCCTGGCACACCTCGGATACTATCCCAGACACCGTACAGGATGCTAGTTTCTAGCTCTGTGAAACGTTAAACTATTTCACCTTTTCAATTCATGATCCACCATGGACGGGTTCGTTGTTGGATTTCCAACTTGAAGGGGGAGGAATTTCCATCAAACTTCTGGCCAGAGAAAACAACATCAATCCATTACTCTCTGCTTCCCATAGTGCACTGGTCATTGCCATCAGGGATAATAGCGCGTTGTGACAAACACCAGATACAGCATTGGAATTGCTCAACAGCCGATTCTGCACCGTAACGTCACAAACCAATAGGTGGCAGTAGTGTTCCTTAAGAAACATGGGCGCCTCAAGTAAAGCACATTCAAATAAAATTACTCATAGTTAAACACACTTATAATTTGTTGAAAAGTATGTAATAATTTAATACTTCAAGTACTTTCAGAAGTTTGTATTCTGGATGTGCCCAGAATTTTCCTTTAATAATGTTTTTCCTGAGAAAATAAATGCATTAAAATCCTTTCTGTTTTATCACCCGTCTCTGCCCGATTGGTACCGGAAATTGGATCCTATGCTACTTCCGGGAGCTAACTTTTCCGGGCTTTCACTTTAAACATAAATCAAATCTTTTTGAGTTTTATGTTTTCATTTTGTGTTAACATTATTGTATATATTCAATTCAATTCAGTTTATTTCTATAGCGCCAATTCACAACACATGCCATCTCAAGGCACTTTACAGTTTAACCAGATCATCCAGATCATTGATTCAAAGTTTTCTATCTAAGGAAAACCAGTTGAATGCATCGACTCATTGATTCAAATACAATTTCTCACACTAAGCATGCTTGTAGTGACAGTGGAGAGGAAAAACTCCCTTTTAACAGGAAGAAACCTCCAGTAGAACCAGGCTTAGTGTGAGCGGCCATCTGCTGAGGCCGACTGGGGTTCAAGGAGACAGAAGCAGAGATACAAAAAGCAGTTATAAAAGGCAGCCCCGTCCAGGAAACAAACAGCCAAGCAGACGAGCTCTGAGCCAGCTACCATGTCAGAGGATGAAGAGAGCACATCCAGCCAGTCACGGTCAGGGAAACAGGACTCTATAGTGCGTAATCTAAACTAAGAAACAACAAAAATGCAGATAAACATGGTTTAATTATATTTTGCAGGACTGCTCTAAGCATGTCCAATAAAGATATCAGACAATCAGTTTAAAGGAGAAAATGTTAAAAGCACCAAATTGTCTAAGAAAAGTCATAAAACATTTTTAAAAGATGTGTATTAGCACTCTTTAGTGATTTAAGGTTAGAAATAAGTACTTTTAGTACCACAATGACATGAATTATGGCGAACTGGATGAATATCTGCTTGCATGTGCACAAATGAACTGATGGTACTGATCGGGCTTCCGGTACGGATCCGGTAGTGACACCTAGCGGCGGAGTTGCTAAATGGGGGGTTGGGGGGGTGCTCTCTGTACATGCATCTGTTTACTGGAGTGTGAGAAACAGACACTAGAGGAACAAAGGGAAAGAAGGAAGACTTACCAAAATAAAGGCAGAAAGGACGTGACTGAAGCCCTACTGTGGTCCAAACATTTACTCGCCACATCTGGCATTAACTCGCCAAATAAAAAATGTAGTCAATTTTGGCGAGTGTTCATTACGGACCCTAAGTACCTGTGATAAAATGAAATACCTCTACATACTCTGAAACTGAAAAGCTGCAAAATCAGCAGTTAATCAAATACTTGTTCTCCCTACTTTCACTGTAAACATGTAAAAATATGTAAATGTTGAGTGCATGAATTAGTGAAATTAGTAACTAAACAATTAATCTATGTTCATGTTCTTAACCTTTACTTTATAGGTTAAAGGATAGTACAGCCTCTGAATGGCTGTACTATTATTGTGCTGATCATAGTTTTACTCGCAAACGTGCTTCACTGCTTCTTGCTGACATGGAAGAGACTAGAGGCGAGTGGGCGCCACATCAATCACCCTGACGGTCCGATCAGTGGAGCATAAACAATTATTTCGATTGTGCACACACACATATTAAAAGGTTATTTCCTGCACTGAGTTTGTATTTCCTTTGTATAAACAAAATCTTCTCCTGTTTTAACTTGATTAGCCCACGCTTATGCACAAACTGTGTAAACATCCTAAAGGCACCAGGGCCGTGAGCATCAGGAACACTTCTCTGGTAATCTTCGAGCTGTTCTCACAGATTAAAACCCAGAGGTTTGAGTTCAGACTACAATTAAGGTACACCGATGTGGCATCTACAGCTGCCAGTGTTCTGTTCTAGACACAAGCTGCTTCACCCCCCACAGGATAGTCTTGATGTCTAAGAATGTGTCTACATTATGCCCTGTAGCGAGGATTTGCTTTTGTGTTAAACAGCATGGGAGAATGGGATCTAAAATTTTATGTAAAAGAAAACCAAAGGCTCTGGGGTTCTCTCTTGGATACATTTTTCATAAATGTTTTTTTTTTGTCTTTTGTTTTCTTAAATTCAATTAGTTTGAATCTTGCCATTTTAAAAGAGTTGCTGTTTAAATGTCACTTTACAAAAAAACAAAAACAAAAAAACAACGTAAAATTGCATTCATAGCAATACAATACCAAAATAATTACATTTTTGGAGTTTTTCAAACTACCCAGGGTAGAGTTGAAGATTTGATCTGTGTATTCTGAATAATGATAGGTCTTGAAAGTCTTTTCTGGTACAGTTGAAGCTGGGGATAATCACCAAACAAACAAAGCCATCAATGAAAGGCTAATGAGATGTTTTAACATCTACTTGCCTGGGAAATGCAAATAATAATCACTTTAATGTGTAAAACTGAAACATTTGCCTACTGTTGTTGCTGTTTCAGACAGTAAAGCTGTCATTTTAACCTCCTAAAATCTTCTCCACATAATGGTATTTCTGCCTCACTGGTGCAGAAATACATGATGCTTTGTATCAGGAGTGGGCAACTCAAGTCCTTGAAGGCTGCTGTCCTGCAACATTTTGATTGATTACCGTTCTAACTCACTTGAATGAAGTTGCTGAATTACTTCCCCAGTATGCAGCCAGTTTCTCCAGAATCATGTTATTCATCTTATTACTTTATAAAGGTGTGTTGGACAAGGGGCATATCTAAAAAAATGGAGGATACAAGCCCTTGCTAACAGGAGTTCCCCATCGCTAATTTAGATCAACATCTCTCCCGCATTGTCTTCACTCCAGCCAATGTTCATGATTTGATCACCTGATAGGCTTGTTTTTCCAACATTTTTATAAACATCTAGAAGAATTTTCAGCTTCAAGTCAGTGAAAACAACTAAAAAACACAGAACATAAGGTTGTTAAAAACAGATCCAATCAGCATGAATGTAACATCACACAGTATAGTGTTGGTAAAAATTCAGTCTGTATAAATGAGTCTTTAACTGATTTTAAAGGAATCAACATCATAACATCATCACAGTCAGGACACTGAGGCATTGGATTTCACAATCCAGGAGTCACCCCTGAAAGGATTAAAATCTTTCCAAGGATTGAAATCTGTGAAACCATTTAAAAAAAAATTGGACTTTATGGAGAGAAATAAATTGACATTTTAGAAGTTTTAATTTGAAAACCACTTAAAGGAAATTTGCCTTAATCTTAATCCAGGCATAAGCAATTAAACAACTAATTTAAAATAATTATTTCAATACCAATTTAATTACTTTTTTTTTTTTACATTGCATGTTTACCTCAAATATGCCCTACAGAATAAAGCAAATGTAAATCGGAGATTACTACAATGAGCCAGTAACAACCTTACTTAATCTCGTGAAACACAATGCAGACACTCTGTCTGCACTAATGAAGATTAAGTTATCTTGGCACATCAGATGCTTCAAACTAAAAGTGGAGCTGACAGCATGAGCTATTTTTTGATGGATACACTTGACTCATCTAACGACTGGGGGGAACATCATTGTACGCTGGCATTTCTTTCCCAAACTTTAGTTTACTGTATTTGTGATGTCACAAAGAAAAGTAAAGTAAAATGGTAAATGTCCTGCAATTGTATATCACTTTATCAAGACCAAGGACTCCAAACAAAGTGCTTTACACAGCATTCAATCAGTCACACATCATACACACATTCCTACACTGAGAGTGTTAATCTACATTGCAACCACAGCTGCCTTGGGGCAGGGTGACATAAGCAAGGCTACCATATAATCAGTGCCACCGGGCCCTGTGACCACCAATAGTAGGCAAGGCGGATAAGGTGTCTTGGCTGAGTCACAACGATTAACATAGAGAAAGCGAGAGCTCCAACCAACAGCCCTCTGGTTACAGGACAAACTTCTCTATCCTAATATCCATCTCTGATAATGTTGAACATAAAATTCTACACCCTTGATCCCAATATACATTCAGTATTTAAACCTGGAGTGCATCAAAAGAAACAATTACTTTAAAGTACAGTTTAGGGTTATTTAAAGAACACAGCAGATGGTAATAACAAAATAGCATTAAATAAAAGCTTTAAGTTAATTGGGCCTTTTCAATCTGGTCAAAACTGGAAGGATCTGTCCTCACGAGATGAGTTCGATTATTGGACAGGGATTGTTCGCTGTTAGCATGTAGTGAACAGACCAAAGTGGACCGATCAGAAATGGGATAACTAACATGATCTTATAGCAGCCCTGTCTCTTTTATGCACAAATTCTGTTTTTTTTTTTTTTTATCTAATTAGACCTGGGTAATACAGACTTTCAACATACATGACAATGTGTGAAACCAGGTTTACATGTAATCTTTAAATATACAGTATATATACAGTAT